AAAAAAAAAAAAAAGTTAAAAAAAAAATCTAAAAAACAAACCTGTTTCTTCATCTGACTCACCAGTTCGTACCCTCAAGATCTCCCCATTGGAATGGCTACTAACCTTAAAGTGTCTTCATTTCAAATTAGCACAGTTTCCTCAGTTTGAGGAAAGTTTTCCTTTCTTGTCCAAATCTTCATTCTAATTGAGGGACAGGATACATGTGGATGAGCAAGTGTAGGGTGGGGGTCTTAAATTTTTTTATTTTTATTTATAGTTTTAGAGATGGGTCTTGTTGTGTCACCACTGCATGATCACAGCTCACTTTAGCCTCCAGCTCCTGAGCTCAAGCAATCCTCCTGCTTCAGCCTCTCAAACAGCTGGGACTATAGGCATTCACCACGGTGGGGGTCTCACTGTGTTACCCAAGCTGGTCTCAAATTCCTGGCCTCAAATGATCCTCCCACCTCAGTCTCCCAAGTTGCTGGGATTACAGGTGTGAGCCACCACACCTGGCTACCTTAATTATTGAAACACTTAATGTTGGGAAGATGAAAAGTTCTGAGGTTCTGGAGATGATAGTGGTGGACAAACAACAATGTACATGTCCTTCATACCACCAAACGGTACATTTAAGAATGGTTAAAATGGTAAATTTTGTTATATATGTTTTAGCACAATAAAAAACTGTTAATTGTAATGGTGTAAATCTCAAACTACAAACTCAAGAAATGTAATTTCCTTTATTTTAACATAAATGAACACAATTTTGTTTTACACTTGATCTAAGTCAAGCAGGATTTTCCTCCTTTTTCTTCCCCCAGTTGGATGCAAGTTCTGATATTCTTTTGCAATGCCAGGGAATTGGTTTGGGGTGGGATTAAGGACAAGCCATTTGGCCCTTAATATCAAGTCATGCTGGGGTCCAGTGAGACCTTCGTCACTCTACCTAACCGTAAGCAGGTTACCTTGGAGATAGCCCTTGTTTCTCTATGCATATAACCCTCTCCACCATCTCTACTCCCCACTGGGGTATTTGGAAATCATTCTGGTGCTTTCATGCTCTTTGCTTTTTTAGGTTTGCCAAAGGCCAGTCTCCCACTGTGGTTTTAGGCGCACATTCTCTCTCAAAGAATGAGGCCTCCAAACAAACATTTAAGATTAAAAAATTCATACCATTCTCAAGATTTACATCAAATCTTCCATCAAATGATATCATGCTGGTTAAGGTAGGTAGTAGCATTGCCTTCCTTCAATTTTGTCAACATTTTTATACAGGATGGCTCAATTAGTTAAGTCACCCACACAAAAGCATTTTGTTAGCACCCTCCCCATGTTTGAGGTGATTCTGATATATTTTACAAGGGCCCATGTTATTCCTTATACTGCCTTGAAAGAAACAAGAATTTATCACAAACGCACCAGGGCTGTGTTTATACAAGGAAAAGCCATTCTGATGCTCACATATGTAGGAGGGGAACATCTTCACAGGCCCAAGGATCCACACTGAAAGCTTTTCTCCCAAATGCTTTTCTCATTAGCAAGTAAAAAATACTCCAGTTGTTTATACAACAGAGCCAACCAACTGACTTCAGGGGTTCAGCAGTGAGTTACAACTTAGTCTAGACCACACTTAGTCTAGTCCAAACTTAGTCTAGACCATACTCAAGGGTCCTATCCAGCAGGAAGCAGCCCAGCCCTCAAAGTCATGACCTATGGATGTTATTCCACACAAAAACCATCCAATACAGGGCAAAGGCCAGTTTGCTCGAGACTGGACAAAATTCCTGCTCTCTATAAGCTTCCTCCCCAAGCCTCAGTGAGCTCCTCGGGGAGTAAAGAGCACGGTCAGAAAAGCAACAACCACAAACGCAGCTGCAGGCCACCATCAAAGTAGATTCCAGGACAGGGACGCCCGCCTAAGACAGAGGGACCACACATACAACGCACAGGCTAGCATCAGAATACTACTGGGAAAGAATGATAATTCAGTCTTTTTTCAATCTGTCAGCTTCAAACAGCCGCAGAACTCAACAAGCATGTCCAGCTGCTACACCCAAGCTCCAAAACCTCTCTTAGATCTGGAACCAAATGCCAGGTTACTGGCTGGGGAGCCACCGACCCAGATTTATTACAACCTTCTGATACCCTACAAGAAGTCACTGTTACTGTCTTAAGTCGAAAACTTTGCAACAGCCAAAGTTATTACAACCACGACCCTTATATCACCCAAGACATGGTTTGTGCAGGAGATGCCAAAGGCCAGAAGGACTCCTGTAAGGTAAGCATCTCTCTTTCAAACAGGCATCTCAGAGCACTATACAGCAGCCAAGTCTTTATTGCTCACTGACACTGAGGAGGAAGGAGGGACATAGAGAAAACAAAACCACAATTCGAAAAACTTTCTCTGCATTCCTGCACAGCATTCTCTATTCTTTTTCATCTACCCATGTGAATGGAGTGTAAAAGCTTCCCCAGTGCTTCATAAGCACTCACTAAATGTTTGTTAATCAGGATAATAGACTAGATCTGACGACTTTTACAGGATTCCTATGAGAGGTGTTATCCTCCTTAGAAAGTCTATCAACAGGCTAGGCACAGTGGCTCATGCTTGTAATCTCATCACTTTGGGAGGCAGAGGCAGGTGGATCACAAGGTCAGCAGTTCGAGGCCAACCTGGCCAATATGGTAAAACCCCGTCTCTACTAAAAAAAATACAAAAATTAGCAGGGCATGGTGGCATGCACCTGTAGTCCCAGCTACTCAGGAGGCTGAGGCAGAAGAATCGCTTGAACCAGGAGGTACAGGTTGCAGTGAGCCAAGATTGCACCACTGTACTAGCCTGGGTGACAGAGCGAGACTCTATCTCAAAAAAAAAAAAAAAAAAAGAAAGAAAGAAAGAAAGAAAGTCTACCAATCCTGAAGTCACTAGTGGTGATTAGAAAATAACTTATTTAAAGAACCACCTTGCAGATTAATCAATAAGGTCTTACAAAACTCAAATGCAAAAAGCTCAATTATACAGTATGTGTTTCATAAGTAATGTTGACTGACTGTCTTTGTCTGTTTGGGCTGTTATAATAAACTACCATAAACTTGGTGGATTATGAATAACAGAGCTTTATTCTATTCAAGATCAAGATCAAGGCACCAGAAGATTTGCTGTCTGGGGAGGGCCTACTTTCTGGTTCATAAACGGCTTCTGTTCACTCTAACCTCATATGGTGGATGGGGCAAGGGGTCTGTCTTAGGCCTCTTTAGTAAGGGAACTAATCTCATTCATGAAGCCTTCACCTCCATGACCTAATCACCTCCCAAAAGCCCCACCTCCTAATACCATCACCTTGGGAGTGAGGATTGCAACACATGAACTTGGAGAATCAAACATTTAGACCATACCGCTGACTGACAAAAAGGAACAAAAGGCCGGGCATGGTAGCTCACACCTGTAATCCCAGCACTTTGGCAGGTTAAGGCGGGTAGATCCCTTGAATTCACGAGTTCAAGACCAGCCTGGGCAACATGGTGAAAACGTGTCTCTAGAAAAAAATACAAAAATTAACCAGGCATGGTGGTGCATGCCTGTAGTCCCACCTACTTAGGAGGCTGAGGTGGGAGGATCACCTGAACCTAGGAGGTTGAGGCTGTAGTGAGCCGAGATCTTGCCACTGCATTCCAGCCTGGGTGACAAAGTGAAACCCTGTCTTAAAAAAAAGGAACAAGAGTCATTATATTTTTCAAAATCTTTTGTTTATTAAGATGGTAAGGAAAAAAATAGGTGTTCACATTTATATGAACTATACTAATATGTAGCACAAATGAATTACTAATTTAAAAAAAATTAGAATATAGTATTCATCTCATACTATACATTAAGCATTATTGGGGAGAGGATATGATGACTTCAAATGTCTTGTGCATCTGCAGTACCCAAGACCATCTCCCTCCTAAACATCTGTTAACACGGTTGGCCAGAGTACAAGGCATTGCAGTCTGCAATGTGAACATCAGCACAGAGAAAGGCTGGTCTTCAAATGTAAAAGCCAGCTCTTCATCAGAAGGCCATGCCATCTCCTCTATAGCTCTTTCACTTCACTTGATAGAATTTAGTTACATGTTTTGCTGTTAGAGTGAGTCTTCAAAAATCATTTAATTCACTAAGTATTTACTAAGTATGGTACATATACAAATACATAGCACTATGTCCAACCATGTGAGGATGCAAAAAAAAGAGAAAAGAATAACAGAGAACATATAATTCCTGCCATCAAGACATTTACTACAATACATTGCTATTTTCTGCTAGTCTCAATAGCAACCTGATTTTAGGTCTGTGAGCATCAAAATGAAATATATGATTTTAAAAGATTATTTTATTCAGTAGATTATTTAAAACTTTATGTATTCTTTAATAAATAAAAGTCAATAGTCATTGATTCCCAGAGGAATGTAGACTAGATAGGGACAAAACAGAGACATAGACATGGACACAGAGACAGAGGCAGAAGCCTGGTCATAGACAGAGACATAAACAGAGAAGCAGGTAGGCAGAAACATAGACCTCAACAGAGACAGACATATGGAGAACCCATACCGAGTAAGAGGCAGTGTCAGACGCTCTTCAGGACATAAAGAAAGCAAGGACCCAGATAAGAATCCTTTGAGCAATCAACAGTCGGTGGGAAAAAAAAATTCTCAACAGCTTCTCACCATGTATTTGCCCTTTTACTTCTCTCCAGGGTGACTCAGGGGGCCCACTGATCTGTAAAGGTGTCTTCCATGCCATAGTCTCTGGAGGTGATCAATGTGGTGTTGCCAAGAAGCCTGGAATCTACACCCTGTTGACCAAGAAATACCAGAATTGGATCAAAAGCAACCTTGCCCCATCTCATGCAAATTAAGTTACAAATGATTTTCTTGGATGCACTTGCTTCTTTTTCCCTAATACGCTCACAGGTTATAGTTGGATGGAAATAAAGCAGAGCACAGATGGGGTTCATTTTGCATCTGTATTTTATTAAGCAATCAAGTTCTTTCTCACTTGTATCACTCAGGTATTTCTACCTTGCTGGTTTGATTTTAAATAAAATTTAGAAGACTCTCTGTTTGTCTTTTATAATGTGAAGCAACATCTGCTCCCATTCTACCCACACTCCCCACAGGGCAATAAGATCACTGAATAAAACAGTAACAGTACCACTTTCAACCGGGTTTATGCTGTAACTTCTGCTGGATCATCCTAAATTGTTGTTTTCTTTTCATTGTTGCAATAACATTTAACATGAGATAGGCCCTTTCAACAAATGTTTAAGGGTAAGATATAGCGTTGTTAACTATGGGCCTGATCTTGCAGTGCAGCTCTGTAGAACTGCTTTATCTTGTATAACTGAAACTTTATGCCAGTTGAATAGCAGCTCCCTATTTCCCCACCACCCCCATCCCCTGGCAACTCCATTCTACTCTAAGCTTCCATGAGTTTGTGTTTTTTAAATATAAATCATAAATATAAATATCCCAATTCAAGTAAGTAGCTTATACAAATATTTGGAAAGTATTTCTTACTAATATATGTCGCATTTTGTTCCAGAAAGGATTTAAAGCAATGTACAAAAATGCCTGCAATGAAACAAAATGCAGAATTAAAAATAGATTGATGAAGGTATTGAGACAAAGGGGAAATGAGAGTAAGAAGGAGAAAATGAAGGTCGGGAAGGTGACGTGGTACTGATAGTGCCACAAGTTTCCCTATATACATTTGTTAGAAGGATTCACATTTGGCTCTATGCTTTGGCCAGTGCAAGAAAGAGCAACACAATCCGTTATATGAATTACAGTATCCAGGAAATAAAAAATTGTTTGCCCAGAAGTAGCACCCCTGGTGCTGCAACTAAAACTAGACAGAACTTTTCTCCATGGTCCTGGTAAGAAGGATACTGTGCCTTGTTTCCCATATCCCCACCAACTGCATTAGAACCACCTAAGATTATTTGTACTCTAGGTTGCCTTGACCTCTTGCCTAGAAATTCAGATTGAATAGGCTTGGGGTGGGCCTGAAAATCTGCATTTTTTCAGAGCAACTCAGCTGATACTAATAAATGGGCAAATCTGAAAGCCACTGATAATGAACATCCTCAGTAACTTCTTATAATAAAGACAACAAATGATGTCAAGGGATTGTAATAAATCTTTCAGTGTGAACTGATGGCTGCAGACCAAAGTGCAATTCAGTATGACCACTGGAGGATCTCAGCTGTCTTGGACTGTGGTCGTCCAGTGATTAGAGAAGTAAAAATTTCTAATTTGGATGGAGGAGCATGGTGGGAGATTGGTGGGGGATGGCTTCAACAGTCAGAAGCCAAAAGATTAATCTCAGCCACTATATTTAATTTGGGTTTTGGGGGATAATTAGTTCTCATTTCCAGGAAAAATCATGAAGTTATCTTACATGCATATAGAAACAGGTGCTTTTGGTTGTTTGTTTATTTGCTTATCTTTTGTCATGGTTCTTAGAAACCATCACTACCCTGCGCTATGAATACTTGGAGAAATGAAAGCACTGGATTAAAAAAAAATAGGTTTAACTAAAATTATTGAAAGTAATAATTTTAAAATTATTGAGAAAATAGTAAAAGAAGGTTCTTTAAATATCTCATCTTAAACATTTTGATTTATTAAAAATATACTGATTATGAAATCCCAGACTATATTTTACAACAAAAGAAAGGGAAAAAGTTAAAGATTCTCTGGACTTACCATTAAAAAATAATCCTGTGTCTATTTTCTCTAAATTTTAAATCCATGAAACATATCATTATAAATCTTTTTAACCAAAACGACTATTGCCATTGCCCCTAATTCCAGCTGATGAGTTATCCCGAAAAGTTGTCACTAAAACTTGAGAGCTGTATTTTGATTTTAGACTCCCTGCTGTTAACATCCATTAGTCAAACCTGATCAGGTTGCCAGAGAACGTTCTTTCAACAGCTGTGGCAGACCTGGCAATTTTGAAATTGAAAGATAAATAGTTTATTCTGAAAAGCGGCTAAAGATAGAGCCCACAACTGAAATGGATTCCTCCTCCTTCAGGGAAGTAGTATCTTGTTAAAGGTACCAATACCTCCCAAGCATGCCCTAAAAGACCATAGTATTTTATTCGGAAATTTCTGTTCTTGAGGAGTTTTATCTATGGCCTCAAAATGAAGTTGAAAGTCAAATTGAAGCAAATACCCAGATTTTAAAACTGCCCAAAGGTTTTAGAGCAAAGTGGTCGCTGTTGTCATTCTAATCATTCCACTTTCTCCCTTCCTTGTGGTTGTGGACAGAGTATCTTGGCCTTCCCCACAGATATAAAAGAAGTCTTTATGCTTTATTTCATGTCCACCCTGTTATAATAGAAAGTGACAGCACTAAGTCCAGATATAATCCATGAAATACATCAGTATTGATTCAGATAAGCAATTAAACCAGTCTAGAACCAGATAGCAGAACTAGTCCTGCCTTCTGACTCTCTCAGTTCTTGTACATATTAAATCTCAACTTACTCTAAAATATGAAGAGTAGTGCTTCAAGCTTGGTTGTTTTTAGAAAACTATCTGATTAGAGGAAGGTGCTGTTGGTCCATCAAGGAAGTGCTTCCTTTTTTACTAAGCTCTTAATTTGGGAAAGAACACTGCTGTGGATTGAATCATGCCTGCTCCAAATTCATATGTTGAAGGCCTAACCCTCAGTGTAACTGTGTTTGGTGATGGGGCCTATAAGGAGGTAAAGAAGGTGAAATAAGCTCATAAGGCAGGACCCTGCTCCAGTAAGATCAGCGTCTTTACAAGAAAAGAACTAGAGAGTTCAATCTCTCCCTCTCTCGGCTATGTGAGGACACAATGAGACGGTGGCCATCTATAAGCCAGGAATTGGGCCCTCCCCAGAAAATGAATGGGCCACACCATGGTCTCAGACTTCCCAGCCTCTGAAATCATGAGAAATAAATTTCTATTGTTTAAGCCACTTAATCTGTAGTATTTTGTTATAGCATCCTAAGGTGACTAAGCCAAACACATCTGCGGTGAGGGAGAAAGGACACTGAGTGCAACCTGCCCACGGGCAGTGCACCTGAGGTCTCAAAAGCCCTGCAATTTCACAAGATTACTGAGACATGCCTGAAAAGCTATTGGTATGTTGTCTGATGAGTTATTTGAGGACCAAGAGCACCCTGGCTGAATGGTTGGTCTCCTTCTGTCTTAACTGATTCAACGCCGTTTTCATGCTTTCACACACTGACTTCCTGTTGACTTCTCCAGTCATTTTGCTGAGTCATATCAGTCAACTCTAGATTGACAAAATCTCCTCACTTCTATGTTCTACCATGAAAAGATCACATTCTTTCTCTGGTTTTAGCCATAAATGTCTATGTGATAGCCTATTAGTCAGCATATGGGTTTACACTGAGGCTTTCCCTGAGAACTTACAAATAGGTTGAATAAAATTGCTCTCTGGGAGTTAATATTTAAACTCCATACATATTAGGTCAGAGCAGAGATACATACAATCACTCTGAAGAGACATGGGACATTCCCAAGCCTGCAAAACTACCAGTAATCTGCTTGAAAGTTAGAGACTGCCAGTTGGCTACTCAGTCATTTTCTCTTTTTCTCTGGCATCAAAACTCAAATATTATTTGGTACCACAAATGTGCATAGCCCAAACATGGCATTTTCTTGCCTCTCTCTTTGCCAGTAGTGGTCAATGAGAAATAGGAAGTTCCTATAAAGTGAGCTGATTCAGCTGGAAGGAGTGCCCTTTCCCCTTCTTCCTTCCTACTGCTTGGATTGTAGCTATGATGGCTAGAGATCCAACAATAATGTTGAACCATGAGGCAAACTTAAATAGAAGCCAAGTGGTAGTGATAGTGAAATAGAAAGAAGCAGCTGATGATCAGGGAGCCTTCATGCCAATCCTGTACTTTTTCTTTTACGTAAAATAAAAATTAAAATTAAAAATATTTAATCCACTATTATTTGAAGCTTTCTGTTGCATATATCCCACCTAATCCAAATATTAAAATTGGAAACCTAAAACTTCTATCCCTGATGTATGTTCCAAAAAAATGACAAGCCATGTGCCTTTATCCCCTTATACCCAGACCCTCTCAAATCTTAAATGGCTTTAGCTTTCCACCTTTCCCAAATCAAGAATTGATTCAGAAAAAGTAACATTTAAATGTTATAATCAATAAACCATTTCCCCCTTGCTCCTCCACTATAGCTTACTATGGAGAAAATTCCCTGGTCTACCTGACAAGCTATTTTTATCTTAACCACATACTGCTGTATGGCAAACATTTTTCCTATTATAAAAATAATACGTAGCACTCAGTAGTCTATAACACTCTATACTCCATCCGTGTATATTTTGTAAATGGATCTTGTAGAAATGTTTTTAGAAAAGTTGCCATGAAAATAATGTTTTCTGGCATTTCAGGTTATTGTTTGTTTTATTATTTCACAATCATTTGAAGTAATATAGCACTTTTCCAATCAACCTACAAAAGCAACTACATTGGAAGACAACTGGATACAGTAATATTCTTAATATTAGCAGTGTTTTAGAAAATCAAAGCAGTCCCATATGTGGTCAGTCAACAGCATGTGGGATGGCCATGTTAACAACCAATCCAAATAGACTCCAGAATCCCCACCATTTAGCATCTAGAGAGAGAGATTTATTCATTTGTTCATTCACTCACTCACTCAACAAATACATCAAGCACTTCTGTTTGCCACACACTGAGCAGGTCACTAGAGCAAGAGGAAAAGATACAATTCCTGCCCTGCAAGAACTCATACTCTAGACATGTCCATGTTTACATGCAAATAAGCATACATATGTAAATAAATACACTATGCTCCAAAATTAGTTACAATGGAGACATGCACAAAAACCAACTTACTTCAGGTGTAAGTCATTCAGAATTCCTGGGGAACAAATTATTTGCCCTACCAGGCTAGGCCTACACAGATGAGACCTGATTCAAAAATTTCCAAAGGTAAAGAGAGAGAAAGATCTAGATCACCAGATTCATACAACCCCCTCCAACAAGATAAAAGGAAAT